GTTCTTCACAAGAAAATATTCATGTTTCACCTGCTGCAGACATTGCACACACCTGCACAAGGAAATAAAAATAATTTACAAAGATAAATAAGAGTAGAGCCTCAAAAAATCAAACTTAGATGCACCACACAATAACAAGACAGCATCAAGGCTTGAATCCCAAATTAACCAAGGTTACAATATGGGTCTCGTTGTTTCTTACTACCATTTTCCGATTATATATTCCATGTTTGAAAGCAATTAATAAATTAAAGGCTTTAGCTTTTTTGAGATAACATAAAAGTAATCAAAAATGATAATTAGAGTTTGAAAGTTCCTACGAGGAAAGTAATCAAAAAGTAATACCTGTTACTATTCTAGATACCCACGCCACAGCTATATGGTCTTACTAGCTGACTGATGTTACTTCCGTATGTATTTACACAACAGTTGATACATGTATATTCAATAGTTTCTCCAATTTACTTTTTTTTTTGGCTGAGAATGGCAAGTATAAAAGAACAATAGTTCATCCAATATAATACTATAACATAACTAGAAATGCTAGATTTTTTTATTTTATTTTTTTGGAGAAATACGGTATGTGTAGATACTCCACCAAGATTGAGGTCTTGTGTCCAAAACGTCTTCTATTCATATCCTTCCAAATACTCCACCATATGCCAGCAGGTATGGTAATCCACGTCATCTTTAAGTGTTAGGGCATACCTTTTCTAGCTCTTAAATGAGGTCTTTAACAAAATGAACCAGATTTTACTAATAGATGCTTCAATTAAATTGGCCTTTCATGTTCAAACTGTGAAGAAAGAGAATACTTAGACTTAAGCAGATTTGAGGCAGAAAAAAGAGCAGATGGTACTTGAAAAGATCTCTGCACAGAGGCAGTTCATACTGGTGTCCTCCTAAGGGGCAACAATAATTTTGCGAAGATTTAGAGACTCAGTAGTGAAGCTGGTCTATTGTTGTGATCTGATAATTTCAAGCATAAGAGTTGAACAAGAATGGAGTGGCATGTTACACTCCAATTTTATTTTTTTACCAACCAGAAACATCTCTGCTCAAATCCCTCTGTTCTTTATTCTGCAGTGACTGTATACATAGAACTCCAAGAAGGCGTGATTCGTTTTGTTTAGTTACTGGAACTATGTAAATAATGTCCCAAAAGAGAGCCAGAAACACACAGAGATCAGGATGCTTGAGGTGGGGCCACCAAGACACGACAACATTGGTACTGCAATTATAATGTAGTAGAAATGTCTGAAAAAAGATAAATTGGAAGGTTCTAGACATGTACCTTCGTAAATGAAAAGCCATATTAGCATCAAATAATGTCAGATTTAGAAAATGCCCTATAGATGTATTTTGTGTGCGACCAAGAATATACCACATGATCATAGGTAAATCTTAATTTTTTTTTTATAATCTTGTGTCCAGACCAACTTGCGTGTTCCTCGACTAATTCCACGGGATGCCTGCCACTCGAGACCTTATGGTTCTCAAGTCTAGGGTGGGAAGAGAACACCTAGTGTTTTTGTCTCTACTGGGATTTTAACCCGAGATCTCGTGGTTCTTAGCCCACTTCATTGACCAGAAGGACACACCCTTGGATGTTGTCTGTATGTAAATCTAATATCATCTTTCTACGCATTGATACCAATTAACCACTTTATGTTGTCTGTATGTAAATCTAATATCATCTTTCTACGCATTGATACCAATTAACCACTTTATCACTATACGCAAAAAAAAAACCAATGACTTATGATTTACATGGTAGAAAACAAAATTTCCAACATGTCTTCTTAATGTCTACAAAGTCAAATCTTTTTATGTAAATCTTCTAAAAACCCAAACCCTTATAATACAAATAGATAGATAGATAGATAAAGGCAAAAATTGTAAAAGAATCAAGCTATACCCACCCTTCAATGTTCTTCCCTTCGCAGAAGGTTTTAAAAGCCACACAAGCATTCTTTACTCTTTGTGCACCTATGCTGCAAAATATAACAGAGATTCTGATTAATGGGGATACTACTAACTCCTAAAAGACTTCCATTCAATAACCTAAATTCGGCTAAATCTTTGATCACAATAAAATTCACTCAGGATGTATCACTTGTCTACCAAAAAGATACAACTTCAAGCATCAATTAAAGTAGTTTAGTCAATGACAAAAACCTAAAAATGTATGGCAGAAAAGGAAAATTGGATACCTGGAACTGCTACCCTTGAACTGGTGGACATGGGAATCAACTTGCTTAAAATCTACAACCTGTTGTTGACTACAATTGACCAAATAATAAACTAATGATCCAATATTTCTGTTAAAGGTAAACAATAAAAAGAGTTTATTTCTCACAGAGCTGCTGTCAGATTGTTGATAAGGTTTTCTGAATCTACAAAGAAAAGTGAAACTACTTCACGAACAAAGTCTGGGTTGCTCTCATCTTGCAAATTCTGAAGCTGAAGAAACTGATCATCCAAGAATCTCTTTTCAAAAGACAAAAGAAAACTCATATCAGAAAAATTCCCTAATATAGTAAAAAGAAAAAAGAAAACCAACCCACCTCACGGTACAAAGCTGAAATGAAGTCCATGAACTGTTTCTGCAACTTGGCTACTATTTCCATGAATTTGATGTGGGGGAGAAGACTCAAAAACTCAAACTTTATTGCAGATCTACAGATTTCATATACTAATTTTAATAGGTACCAAATCAATGCTCATCGAATTGACTTTTGTCAAAAATCATGGTTAATATATTAGTATAAATTAATGAAATTCCATTTTTGTCCTAATAATAACTACTAGTAGTATTTCCTTTTTCGTTAGAATCAATCAAAACTGAAACTAAAAAAGTTTTATTTTATTATTAGAATATATATATATATATATGGAGTTACAAAGACATATACATACAAGTGACTGTTAGTTATTGACAAAGTGATTTGTAATTGGGGGATATTGTAATTTGTAGCTAATATATATTTCGTTTGCCTTTGAATACAATGTATTTTTGAACTAATACATAAATTATGCATATAACTTTTGGTCAAATATTAGTGGCAAATTTTGTAAACTCGTGATAGACTCCCATTCAAACAATTTTGGAATAATACATCAAACTCGTTAATGTATTATTTGTTACATAATTATGTTTTTGTACAAGTAGTTGTTAGGTTTCTCTTCACCATAACTGTTAATCTAAATACCTTAGTGCTGCATAATTTGCATTATATCTTTGTAAACTAAAAGGTTACAATTGCTTTTCAATTAGTATTGGAGATGAAGAAGTATTTCAATTTTAAAATAAAATAGTGTACGTTTTTGTTTTATGTATAAAATGTTCTTTTCTTACTTAAGATGTATTGTATTCAAAATGAGTCTTGATCAAACAAGATTATGGGAAAAACGATCATACGAAATTCTAACCCAGACAGAAAAAATGCCACAAAAAGTAAGAACCTGGATGGATACAAATATGCTGCCTGTCTAATCATAGGATAGCCAGAATCCAAAATTCACAAGCCATGAATATCTAAAAACGAGCCATCTTGTTTTGTGGAAATCATATAATAATACATGTTATGCGAGCAACAGAATACATACTCATCAATGAGTTTATATAATTTATTATCTTTGTAGCTAATGAAAACACACAAGACTACATTACCCAACTACCAACTAGGAAGACTTGTCAAAATTTATGTATACACTTGAGCAACACTAACTGGTAGGTATGCATGCACAAGAGATAATTTATGAATGGCCAGACATACTCTACCTTGCCCCTGTTAGAGTTGGACATATAGAGACCAAAAAGCCAGAGCAAATTCAAACTACACACAACTTCAATTCGATGGACCAACAAGAAATGCAGAATCTGAAGGACAGTCAATTTACCAACAAGAACAGAAGGAGAAACCATAAATCGGAAACAAATTTCAGCTCTCACAAAATTGGAGATATAAACGTCAAACTTTTTCATGCTACCATATGTAAGTTATTAGAAACTAAAATCTTAACATATATAGGCAAACAAACCCCAGATTGACGAAACTACTACTACTGATTCTCCAAAACCTCAGAACAAGACCTTGCACAGTGATGATAACACCAGAATGACATCATTATTTTAAAAAAACTCTTTTGATCTTTTATCTCTAATGGCGCCGGGCCAAAAGCCTACTCAGACCCTACTAAACCTATCTTGTCCTTGCTGGAACCTCCGAGACCCCTACTATACATAAGATAGAACAAAAACTGCCTGAAATATTATAGTATGTATGTAATTCATATATGAACCCTACTGACCCTACAATTTTATCTACTAACATAGGGGCTATGTTGCTCAACTCTTCAAAAATGCAGGTGCGTGTCGGATTCTCTAAAAGTAGTGTATTTTTGGAGAATCTAACACGAGTGTAGCATCAAAAGTGAAGAGTCCATGCAACATAGCATAGGCCATTCCACTATCAAATCATAAGATAATTGAGTCTTCTAATTATAAAACAATTAATACTAATAATTTCAATTCTATAAATGCCAAAGTGGAAGAGAAAATCACATCATCCTCTTCATACCAAGGTAACCTCATTCACTCCAGCCACAAACAAATAATATAACCCCTATATTGGTAGGTTAACGATGAATCATAACAAACACAACCTCATATTCCATGAGAATGGATTGAACCCCGAAGCGATACCCATTTATGCAACTCAAAACCATCTCCCAACCTAAATACATCCTCTTTAGGCTTTACATCGGTATGAACAGCTAAACAAGCACGCATAGTTTCTATTTCACATCAACATGAGGCAATTCATATTATTAGGCGCTATTTCACTGGTACTTTGGCATATAGAAGGTGTCAGGATCAAATGAATGTGCACTCTCTTTCCGTCAACCGAAGATATACTTTATATACGGGGGGGGGGGGGGGGAAGCATATATAGAAAGAAAAGAAGCAAAACTTCAAGTTAGCAGCTAACTCAAAGTAAAGAAGGCTAACAAATTTTCCTTTTTGTCACAACCAAATCCATCACCATGAAAAGTAAACAGAGCAGTTGAAATGTATTTTGCAGATGGAAAATAACAATACATGGCGAATAAGTTGAACCTTTAAGACTCTAAACAGTGCATCTACTAAGCATATGAACAAGTCCAGCTCCATCCATCCAGTCATTTAGTGCTACTAGCTACACCCTTCTTGTGAGAGTTGGCAAGAAGAGCGGTAGAGGGTATGGTGTCATCCATAACTTTGGGGCTGGTAAAGCTGAAATCTGAGGGTTTAACGTCAGATAACTGGGGATTTTGTTCAAGAAAAGTAGTAACATCAGTAACGGATCTGAGTTTCTTCCCTAAAGGAGTGAAATAATAAGTATCCATCTTAGAGTAATCTCTCCTGAGGTACAATTCTCTCTTAAAGCCAGATGGGGTTTTAGGGAGATTGGGCTTGTCAATAGCCCAAGTTCGAGAAGCATCGTACTCAATGTCTGCAGGATCATCACAAGTACCATTGGGGCAGTTAAAGGGTTCTTCAGTAAACCTACTTCTGATATCTTCAAACTGTTCCTGTGTCGCAATCCTCCTCCATTTCAAGCATTTTTCACACTGTACTGCCCAAACGCCAACTGATGGATTCGTCGCCGACCTCGACTGTCACAAAAACAAAGTATATATCAAAACCTGAACAGCCATTCGGAAATCAGGCGACAGATCTGTAATTAAAGCAAAAAAGCTACAAGTAGCGGTAGCATTTTTGCAAAACAGAACAGCAAGTATAAAATTTACCTTGGGAGTTTTTGGTGAATCTTTCGCCATTTCCTGAGAGCAATTTCAATGGAGAATTTTGATTTTACATAGCAATTTGTCGCCCAAAAGGATCATATTTACACACTTAGGGTCCTTACTAATTTAGGATTCTCGCGTTTAAGACTCCCACTTTAAATATTTACTTCTTGTTGGTCCCTTACTAATTTAACATTCTCTAATTTAATCCCTTTTTCCAATCCTTCCTTAGCTTTGCAAATGATTATTATTTAATCTCTACGGTGTCATTGTTTTGTCACCCAATTTTTTAACCCTATACTATTGATTTCCCACCTATTAAAGTTTTAAGATTTTCTTTCGAATATTTGCCTCGTCAATTATTCTTATATAGGGGACTATATAAGCTATATTATGAGTGGTGTACTGAACATCAATTTGATCCTGATAATTTCTTTTTACATACAAAAAAACTATAGCAACTTTCAATGATTGAGAATTAATATAACCATTATAAAAAAATAAAAAAATTAAATTGATGATTGACAAGATACATTATCAAATTTTGTTATCACTGGATGGATGCATTTTTGTGAATCTTGAAAATGACACAATACTAACTCTCTCGATCGTGTATCGACATTTTTTCATCTTTAAAATAACGATAAAAAATGAGATTAGGAGTTGAATTCAATAGGTTAGATTGGTATAATATAATATTAGATGGATAGAAAATTAAATTAAGAGCAATCTTTTTATTGATAATATACATATACATATATATATATATACACGTAGGTGCCAACAATAATAAAGTATGAGGACTCGAAGCTCAACTATCCAATCGACAAATATGTGTCTAAAATTATAAGGGTGTAAGGAGTAACCAAAAATATAACCATTTTTCGAGTTGGGTGGTAGGCTTCATTGAACACACACCACTTACAAATCTTAGCTAGCGTTTGGTTATAAATTTTCAAATATTATTTGAGTGAAAATTTGGGTGAAATTTCACCATGTGTTTAGCCATAAGATTTGAAAAATTTATTTTACCTTTTTAGAAAAATATAATTTATACCCATAAATTTTAAAAACTGTCAAAACTAACAATAAGTTTGTATTACAAGTCAAATGGATGTTCGTTACAACAATAATAAATAGTGTCCATGATACTAGAGCAATGTGATAATTTGGAATAAGTGCAACAAGCATTGTTTCATACAATACATCGTGAAGTAGACGAAATACATGACTTTGTTTTCATCATTTTCATCAACAATCATATCATTATTTAATACTCACTAAATATTTTATCACTATTTTGAAATTCAAGCAAAAAATTATGTAATACAACGCAAACAACTAATATAGAGGGTGTTTTGTTTATAAAAGATAAAAGTTTGGAGTAAAATTTTGATTTTCAAAAAATCTCAAATAGTGAAATTTGACCCAAATACTAAAAAAAATTAGTATTTAAAAATTTGAAATATTTACCAAATAATAACAAATTGTATAACAAACATTATTTGCCAAAATTTTTCTCAAATATTATTTGAGAAATCTATTGCCAAACAGGCCTCAATTAGAGTTGAACTATAAGCCTTGCAAAAGGACCTAGTACCAGTAGATAAATTTTTGCTCATCTGAAGCTATTAAAAATGCCAACCAATAATAACCTGCTCTACGATGATTTGATTTAGAGGCGTACAAAATCGAATTAAATTATAAATCAAGTCAAATTGAAAAAGAATTTGATTAGTGATTTAGTTTGACTTGGTATGGTATTAAAAAAACCCGTCTATATTTGTGTTGGTTTGGTTTAACTAAAAAAAAAACGAGACCAAACCAACCCGACATTATATATGTAATTTTAAAATTTTATTTTATACCAAAAATATTTACTTTGACATCATTTAAAAATATTTCTTATACGGTTTCATAGTTTTTATCATTTAATATATCATTTTAATTTTTAAAACTTAGAATTCAGAATGGTCCAATAAAAATTATAGTTCATAAATGTTGATAATTATAATAAAACCTAAATCAAAATAAAATTAATACTAATGCAAAAAAAAAATCAATTCAACATTAAGAAAGACAATAATATTGAATATTTATACTTTAGTTTTACATTGATTTATTAACAATTAAAATATATAATCTAATTTAATTTTCCTTAAATATTTAGTAATGTAACTAATACTTATTAAACTTATTTTAGCATGATTTAGTGCGCTTTTAAATTATGATTATTTTCATTGTAACTTTACAATGTTTATTTTATATGATGATTTCATTATTATTTTTTATTGAATATTATTGTGCTATCAATACTCATCTCATATTTTGTGTTAATTTTTTAAGAAACACCTTAAATTGTATTTTGGTTGGACTAAATAAATATTTGGAGCATAAGTTAATTATATGTTTGTATGCAAGTGCATACTCTGAAAATATTCAAAATTTATTAGTTTGGTTTGATTTATATATTTAAATATTCGACACAATGGTTTGATTTGGTATTTGAAAAATTTGAAAAATTCAAATTTTATCAGTTTAGTTTGATTTATATTTTTAAATTTTTTACACGACTAATTTTGTTTGATATTTAAAAATTTGAACCAACCCAATCATTTATACCCCAAATTTGACTATTGAATATGGGTTCTTGATAGCTGATAGCAAAATTAAAAATCACAAAGATGGAGCGTGTTTTTCGTAAATAAAATGGAGTGAAGAAAGGAAGGAAGAATAAAGTTTTTAACTAATCCGCTATTTTGATTACAACATAAATATTGGCACAAAAGGAAAATGTAGTAAAATTAAGGGTCCGTTTAGTCATACGATACGGTACTATAATACTAAATAAAGATATGGTATCAATGAAATGATATTATGAGATGAAATTAAAGTTTGTTTGGACATGCGATGTGAATTTTAGTATTTTGTATTTTTTCATAAACATAAAAATCTCATAAGTTCTAAAACTATTAAAATAGCCCTAATTGTTTATTCAATCTTCTCAAATAAATAAAAAAATATCGCACAATAAATTATTACAAAACTATTTGTTCTCCACTTAATTAATTGTTTCATCAATATATTTGAGTAAAAGTGACTAAATGTTGGAGAGAATAATAAATTGAGGAAAGACATAAAATGACTCGTGAAGTTGTCTCGAATTATCAAAAAGACACCTAAATTATGCAAGCTTCCTATTAACCCCTAAATAATTCTGAACTGATATTATTACATTATTTATTGTCCACTTAACATGGAGAGTATATGTAATCTCTTAAAGAGTGTGAACAAATAAAAAGAAAAAAAATAATTTTATTTTTGCAAGTATTTTGCTATAAAATACATTTTTTTTTCTTATTATTTTAACTTTTTCTCCTTATTATTTTTTTCTTTTTCTTTATTCCTTTTTCAAAAATTCATTTTCATCTTCATTGAAGCTCCTCACTTTAATTGTCCCTTTTTATCACAATTTCATCTCCCATTTTTACTACTATTAGTTTAACTCGCTTTAATTTAAAACTACATCTAAACATTTAATTACATTCGAACAATTGGATAAGCACATTAGATTTCAAAATGATTAGTAGGTATTATTTAATTTTTTAATCCAAATTTCAATCAAACTTTTCCAAATTTCTCAAAATTATAATTCTTCCAAAATTATCATTTCTAGTTTTGAAGTTATACGAAAATGAGATAAATTAATAAGATGATAATATAATTTTTGTTTTATCCGATTTCAATTAAGTTCTTTCAATTTCCGGGAAATTAATTTATTCTTTTAACATTATGATTTCTAATTTTGGTTTTATATGAAAATGAGTAGTTGATGATACTTTAGAATTTTAAATTTTTTAAAAAAGATAATGAATTTTGTTATCAATAATTTAGTAAAGTCTAAATAATAGTATGAATAGAGTTTGACCGAGAAGAAGAAAAGAAAAGAAAAGAAAAGAAAATGAAAGTAAGGTTCAATTTGACATGGGGGGTGGGAACTTGGAAGTGAAAAAAAAAAGAAAATGAAGAGAGATTATTAAAATAAATGAAATGTAAAATGAATCAAAATTAAAATTCAAAAAGTAAGAGAGAGAAATAAAGAAAAAAAATAAAGGAAAAATTTTAAAAGTTTATTTTTTTAAAAAAATAAATTAACACGTTTCATGTATTAATAGGACAATTACAATGTTAAAATATTTTTTTGAAATTCGGGACAACTTTAATGGTTACTTTATGTCTTTTCTCTAATAAATTTTATATGGATGAAAAAAATAATTTTTAAAAGGTAATGATGTGATTATAAATTTTAGTTACTTTATGTCTTTTCTCTAATAAATTTTATATGGATGAAAAAAATAATTTTTAAAAAGTAATGATGTGATTATAAATTTTATTTACATGTGAAATAAATGATTAGTAAATATAAATGTAAGATTATTTTAACAAATTATAAACTTATGAATTAATTTTTATATTAAAATTTCCAAATCATAATATGATATTTTCATATCATAATTTTTAGAAAATATAGAATCATATAACGTAGGATTACATATCTAAATATTAATTTTATTTTATAATACCATATTGTACGGTCAAATGCGCAATAAGTTAGAAATGAACCTCTTTGTGTTATCCAGGGTCGAAACTGACAGCGGACGAGGAACCCATTAATCTATAATATTATATAATATAAATAACCCTTTGATTGAAAAAAAAAATTTCCAACTAAAACATCAATGGGGCCTAGTAAGGGACATTTCAGTAAAATCAGTCTCGAATCTTCTATAAACAAAAAGCTCCGATGCACCGTTCATCAAGCAGTGGATCTTTCTGGACGTTTTCTCGAAACGACGGTACGGTGATGAAAAGTGGAGTTTCCAGTTTTCAGACTGATGCTACGATAATGATCCGCCATGGCGTCGTCATACTAGTTGCTCTTTTGTGGTTTTCCACAGCCGAAGCTTCTCAGTGCTCAATTAATGGCAAGTCTTCTCATCATTTCCTCTGTATGTGTATGAGAAAAATTTGATATGTATCATTATAAATTTTCACTAAGTAGTAGTGTAGTGGATGCAATGCACTGATATTCTGTTCTCACTAATTTAAAACCATGATTCTGCCTTCAAGTTAGGGAAAAATTCCTACTGGAGGAAATTCTGGGGAGCTTAGAAGCTGATTTGGATTAGTTGTGGCCCTTTTAATTCTAGAAGAAACAAGTTATTGGTTCCTTTGACTGAATTTCCAATGATCGATTGATAATATGCTCAATTGTTTTGAACTGTAAAGAAATTAATTAACATTTTCATTTGGTTGTTATTATGAGCAAATTTTTTTATCTTATAGAAGCTGTGATTTTCCTCATTTTGCAGGACTGCCACTCGTGAAGAATATCAGCGAGTTTCCACTACACAACTACGGGAGGTCAGGTTTATCTCACACTACAATTGCTGGTTCAGTCTTGCACGGCATGAAAGAGGTACTATTCTGCTTGCAGTTACTTAATTTTGACGATACTCGCTGACCTGAATAGAATGCAGATAGAAAGGATTTATATAGCCAGTTCTATCTAATTTGAGATTGAAATAAAGTTGATTGATAGTTAATATTGTCTATTTGGTTTAGACTGTTGCAATTTACTTTGGTTTCATTGCTATTATTTCATGAATAGATAGAGGTGTGGCTACAAACATTTGCCCCCGGATGTCGCACACCAATCCACAGGCACTCATGTGAAGAAGTTTTTATCGTCTTGAAGGGTCAAGGCACTCTCTATCTTGCTCCTAGTTCACATTCAAAGTACCCAGGAAACCCACAGGAGTTTCATATATTCCCTAATAGCACTTTTCATATCCCCGTTAATGATGTACACCAGGTATACATTCTGCCTTGTTCTATCATACTTGTGCTTAAAGTTATTCCTGCAAGATGCAAATAGAGTTCAATAACTTGATAAAGAAAACTTTGAGCTGATACATTTCTTAATGTTGCATCTAGTATTGTAGATAAAAACACTTACCAAGGGTTTCTAATTTTTACTTCTTGAATTATAATCAATCAGTTGACAAATTAATTGTTGAAAGGATTTAAGAATAAAATCAGTCAATATTTTACCAGGCTTCTAGGATAATCTTTGTCTCCACTTCATAATATCTTTATGTGTGAGATATGCTCTATCCCTTCATGGCTAATCTACTTGCTTTTCTTCATCTTTCCATGCTATTTTTGTTTGTGATGGATGAATCTGATGATTGGTTTACTTCTCCCAGCCAAGTAGTTTGCATTAGTCATCCTAGATGCATGCCTTCAATTAAGACAAAATTGTTAATATAGCGTGTTTAAAGACCTATACCAATGCTGCTTTTGCAGTCACAAAACATCAACTGAGCTGTCAATCGTATTACAACTTTTTAAATTAGGCTTCTTCTCTGTGCGCGTGTGACCGGAAGTATGCTTTAATTTTTGTAATTACAGATATGGAACACTGGTGAACATGAAGATTTACAAGCTTTAGTTGTTATATCTCGTCCTCCAGTGAAAGTGTAAGTAACATGTGTTGAACCATAAACTTCCAGTCCACCATTGCACAGATTATCATATACCATCAATTTGTCTGTGCTTAATATTTTTTGTTAACCTTCTTACTTTCATAATTTTGTTTCTATACTTTCCCCACGATGAAAGACTCCATATCAGTTTCATCACCTGATAAGGATCAGTACTTGGACAGTTGGACTTCATCAGAGTTGAATGGGAGTTGTTCTGATGCAGTTACACTCTGTGTTTCCTATGATTTACTATATGTTTTTAGACATTGATGTTTGTTCTTGTCAACATGTATCCCATTGTGTGTAACCCTTATTCCAGGAAAACAATAAACAAGAGGGGGAGGAGGAGGTCAAAATATTTTAGAATAGTTCATCATGGACCAAAACAACTACTATCTAATTTGGCCATTTGAAAGACTTGAGATCAGCCTGCCTGTGCATTTGGAAGCATCTTGTTTTGCTAAGTTCATGATGGTACTAGCTGCGTAAAGGCCTGCAAGGGATTTCTGAAATGTTGTTATTCATCTTTCCTTGTGTGGCTGGCTTGTCATGATTGACTGATAAATTTTCTATAATCCCAGATTGTGCATGCACGCTCTAATTATTACTTAACTGAGCTTTGCTTTCTCGCACTTGTTTTCAGGTTTATGTACGATGACTGGTCGATGCCACACACAGCTGCCAAATTGAAGTTCCCGTATTACTGGGATGAGAAATGTTATCAGACAACAACGAGGAAAGACGAGCTTTAGCCAGAAAAGTAGGCTATGCAGTTACTTACATTTAGCTAGTGTTTGATATGTTTCTGTATTATGCTGGGGTCTAGCTTATTTGAAGGAGTCAATGATTGACTAAAACAGGTCTTGCAGTCATACATAGTACAAATGTGTTACCCAGTCACCACATTAGGAGAACTTTAGTTGTACTCCCTAGCTACTAATACATGATTTCTTTAATTGAGAAACATTAGTAAATGCGGTTTCTGTGTTGCTGTTATTGCATTTTTCGACTCCTTATTCTTGTTGCGAGTGTGATGAAGATTAGTGCTCATCCTCTGTATATCAGATTATCTGGAACATAAATATATGTAGGTCATCAATAATTTTTTGTTCTGGTCTCTCAATTTGATTATTACATTTGTGTAAATACTAATTTAACATTTTCTTCCGTCATCATCAGTACTCTCCTAGATTTTAAAGTAGCCATCGACAGAGTTAGTCCAGTTAGCGCATTTTGCTCTGATGAATGAACAGATAGCTCCAAGGTATGATACGGATCTTGAAAGAACTAAAACCGAAAGTCATTCGCTAAAAATGTCCTTTTTGTATCCAGAAAAACATTATAGAGGAATTTCACTGGAGATGGAAAAGTGAATGAAAATAATAATAATTGTTGGTACTTGAGAAGAGAAAGAGGATATAATTACATTAAAATCAACCTCTACTGTCCTTGAAGAGATTGATAGAAAAAGGAAAAACTCAATGAAAAATTCAGCAGATAATACACTCAACTGACTAAGCTCAAAATATCTAAAGCCTCTCATGGTTAGCATAAGTAAAAGGTATATCAACCAACACCTAAGTAAGAAGGAAAATCTTTGAAGGGAATTAAAAACGCACAAGATATATCTATAATCAACAACTGAGCTCATCGTGGAGAGAAGAAACAACGGACAAGGGACCCATACTCGGTCTAAACAGCCGTACTTGCTTCTGAACTGCTCACTGATTTAGGCGACCCACTAGGGGAAGGTAGCTCAAGAAACCGCCTTTTCTGGGCACGTGGTGGAATATGTTTTGCAGGTTTTCTTGATAATGGAAGAAAGACACCAGTACCACCAGTTGGAATTTTTCGAGGGCTTAGAACCATCGGATGCACAGGAGCTACCATAAATTCTGGAGCTCGAAGGAAACCCCATTTAGGCATCACATCCATAATCTTATAACCATTAGCTGCTCCATTTGCAGTTGAATAATGTGTTGGGACACCAGGCTGCCATAAGGTCATTGCTTTAGTCAGAGGGGGGATTTTTTGATCCGAGACGAAGTTATTCATCTCTGTTCTTACTTTGAAGAATGTAATAGCAACTCTTTTGCTAGCTGATGAGCACAGTGCATGTCTAGCCATATCGGCACTGTTTCCTCTCATGACTAAAAGAGACCTGCCAAATATAGGACAAAATGAAGAATGTCACTGTAAGAAGAATCGTCGTTTGATAAGGACACTTCTAACAGACTGAAATTACACTAGCATGGCCTTACTTTCACCGGGGAATGGAGGAATTGCAATCTCCCATGTTAATGAGAAAGACTTGCTACAGGAGGAAAATTGGAATTTGTGAATACACATTACCCTTGTTTAAGAGAAAGCATGAATGATCCTTTGTAGTTCCCATCACTATCACTCACAAGAGCTCTACCAAATGCCATCATTGATTCAGAGAGGAGAAGGGTAGACACCGGCTGGTCCAAATGTGGTGGTTTCATGAAAGGTTGTGAATACTCCCCCTACATAAGCCAGCAAAAAAACAAAAAAAAAAAAACAACACATTTAGGCACCACTTTTTATCAATCAAAATGTACAGAGGCCAATATGAATCTGGCATAAACAAATATGAACCTCATCAAAATAGTTGATTACACAGCTGTTAGGCCTTCTACTTTCTGATATTAGATTCCACTGAATCAGGTGGTCTATGACACCTTGTAGAAGAGCTGGAATGGGTTCAATGTTACCTGAAGGTTGATTTCTCCCAATTAAGCTTTACGGAATGTGTTAAAAGGTAATAAAAGTATTCAGAAATTTTTATGAATCCAATTGTTGCAACAAACATAGATATGCATTAAGGCACAGCTTTCCCTTACTCTTTTGACACATGGCCTCCTCTTTTATGTGTCCGAAAATTGGGGTCCCAAGCTGAATCATCTCTCTTTTGTTGCCCTTCACTTGCTGGTTGAATAAAATAAAAGTTTCACCTGAAAAGGAAGTCACAAGCAATTCAGGGTGGAAATCAAAGATAAAGGGGTGATTTTGAAGAACACTGATAATGAATTAATATAGTAAAGAGCTTCTTTCTCTCCCACTTAAGAAGTATAGTGTCTTAAATGAGAGCAGTGCACAACTTGTTAAAAAGAAACTAGATTATAGAACATTGAGTCGAGCTTTTGGTGATTGTATAGTTCACAATATAAGGAGAAGAGAGGCAATCAGCGTAAACCTCAAGCACCAAGGGTAAAACAACAGTTTCCTGATTACATGTGTACAAAATTTTCACTCAGATGATAGAATTCATGGAAAAGCCTATATAGTAAGCTAAGGCTGCTATAATGAGTCACAAAGCAAATCAATTCCCAAACCTGCTCGAGCATAACTTCGCCTCAAAAAGGAAACAACACTAACTATAAAAGTGCCACGAATCACAGGATCCACCTGAGAGATCACCATTCTGGCCAGCAACACGAAGTTCGTCCACTAAATCATTTAGTTTAGAGATTTCATTTGGAGTAAATATGTCTTCGAATAACTTGAGACCTCGCACTACATTCACCTGACAAGTCACAGATACATTGGATTTAAAATTGAATGTCATCCTTCACAGAAAACATGCAAATTGCAATTGAGGACTCACCATATGCCCTTTGACTAGCTCTTTCGACACAAACCCCTTTGTCATCTTGATGTGGGCATGCCTTGCCTCACAGTTCTCATGGTTTGAGCAGAATTCAACACTTTCTTCCAAGTGTTGTATTAAGAGTCCTGTTAATTAGCCAAGAGCATGTACCAAAAGAGTTGAACAAAAATGAGAATTTTAATGAATCAGTCAAATTTGTTTAGGTGACAATCAACTTATCACCATAGGATGTAAAACAAAAAAAAATCGTTAGTGCAATTTCCCTATTTAGAGGCGCAAACTGTAAAGTTTTCATGATGAATTACATGTTAATTTAAGCCAAAATTGTGTACGGAAATTAAGTTGTAGTATATAATTTACCTGTATCATGAGTGATGTCAGTTTCAGGAGAATCATCTCCATCCACTATTTCAGGAGTGATTGCCTGGTTATCGAACTGTTTGGAGATTGCAAACTCCTCTCTCTCCTTGATCTTTCTATCAGCGACTTTACGTAGATCGAGTGTAACCTCGGCAATGGAACAGTACTTTTGCATCTGTAGAATTGGGATCCAATTCAGCCTCCGGCGGTGGATGGCTGCAAACACCGATTCATGCTCTGCTCTTCCTCCCTCAAGCTGAGTTATATGGTTGCAAAGCGCATCTATAATCGCATTTGCAGCAGCAAACTCTCCCCTGAACCACGCTAATATTGCGTCCTTAGCAAATGTCTCCGATACCATGGAGGCCGTCGGCGTAACCTTAGAATCTAAGGGTACTACACGGTGATGTCCAACAACGTCGGCAGCTGGCGGCATATCGGAACAATGAAGTTTTAGCTGGTTAAAGACTCCGTAATAATCTCTTCTCTCTAAAAAAATCTAATGTGCCAAAGCTGTTAGCTAGTCGTTGGATTATTTAGTTTGAATGTGTGCGGTGGAATCGGAGAAATTGTTAGGTGTCGGCCCAGTATTTTCCGGCTTATTTATTTTATTATTTATCAATGGGGCTCTGTTGGGGAGGTTTTTAAAGGCAATGCTGACACTCCGTACAGCATAGCATGAACCATTTTTTATGTTTATTTATTATTTATTACTAAAAAATAAAATTGCAGGTTAGTATTACTGTAAATTATTTAATATATATAGTAGCATTCAAAAAAGGAGATGAAAATAATTTAAGATGAAATTCTAACTTCAAAAAGACATTTACCACCAATAAATCCAAATAAGAAGATGTCAAATATAATTTAATGGACCAACAAAATAGAGAAGAGATTGAGGTAAATTGTACAAATTGATTTGTATATTGTGTGTTATTGAGATTTATAGTCAATATCTTTTTGAGATACACATTTCATCTAACAATGCATTAATTAATCTACACAAATATCAAGATCTATAGCCAATATTGCAGATTCTTACGCTTTTAGATCTTATTTCTACATTTTTAGCGGTATAAATTAATTATTTTTATTTGTATATTATTAAGAAGTATAGTTCTGACTATTTATTTGTATATAATGTATACATTTGCTTATTTAATCAATTGTGTTTAGATACTTTAACATGCTTATTTAGGAAGTTAATGTTATCTTTCTTTGTTTGGTACAACTTAGAACTCATATTTGACAAGAAATTCGAATCATATTCCATAACGATGATTTGTGAGGTCATAACCTAGATATTGTCTGATTACTTAAGTTTAAGAGTTCAATTTGTATAAGAAAGTAAATTTTCAGTAAGATATACAATTCTATGGAAACTATAGTTATGCTATGTGCACGTGAAATTTAATAACACTAATTACATTTCAACTTTTAACTATTTATGAAATCTCCGCTCAATATCTTCGTTTACTTTTACAACTCCATCTTTACTATGATCGGTGGCCCTTTTTTAAAAATATAAAATAATGGGAAAAGACAAGAAGCAAGGATGGATGGCAGCATCGTTTTACGAAGGAAAAAAGTACATTTAAAAAAACAATAGAAATGTCATCATGGAGAAATTTAAAAAGTTAAAATTATATATATATATATAGCATATGAAAGATGTGGTTAGTTAAAAGCTAATGCCAGCAGCAGCGTGGGCCAAAAGTAATTAACAAGCAAGGACACTAATCTTCTAAATAAAATTGGTGTTCATTTGGAAAGATCTAATTCGTCTGCTTAATTTCTTTTCCATAATTAATTAAAGCAAATAATACTATACTATACTTGGCTCATGATGATCACTAGAATTCTAAATAATTTACTATAGATATCTTCGCATGTAACTTATAAGTAAAATTTACATAAAATCTAGGAACAATTCTTCAATTTTTCCGTTTAATTTTTAAAAACAAAAGATCTTTCATGCTTATATTTCGATATCCACTT